GCGCCGCACGCGCCGCACCGGGCCCCGCGGGGCCAGCAGCCCCACGGCCTGGCGTCCGGAGAGAAGAGGCCGTCCGCGCGAGGCCTGGACAGCCCGGCCCTGATCCGGAGCATGCTGCTGTCCAACCCCCACGACCTGTCGCTGCTCAAGGAGCGCAACCAGCCCCTGGCCGAGGCCCTGCTCAGCGGGAACCTCGAGACCTTCTCTCAGGTCCTCATGGGGCAGCAGAGGGAGAGGGCCCTGCGAGAGCAGGAGCGGCTGCGTCTCTTCGCCGCCGACCCCTTTGATCTGGAAGCCCAGGCCAAAATAGAAGAAGAAATCCGGCAGCAGAACATTGAGGAAAACATGAGCATCGCGATGGAAGAGGCTCCGGAGAGTTTCGGGCAGGTGACCATGCTCTACATCAACTGCAAAGTGAATGGACACCCTCTGAAGGCTTTCGTGGACTCCGGTGCCCAGATGACCATTGTGAGCCAAGCTTGTGCCGAGAGATGTAACATCATACGGCTGGTGGACCGCCGCTGGGCTGGCATCGCCAAAGGGGTGGGCACGCAGAGAATTATTGGCCGGGTCCATCTAGCCCAGATTCAGATCGAAGGCGACTTCCTCCAGTGCTCGTTCTCTATCCTGGAGGAGCAACCCATGGACATGCTTCTAGGACTGGACATGCTCAGGAGACACCAGTGTTCCATCGACCTGAAGAAAAACGTGCTGGTGATCGGCACCACGGGCACGCAGACTCACTTTCTTCCTGAGGGGGAGTTACCGCCGTGTGCCAAGCTGGTGTGCGGTGCCGGGCAAGAAGACTCTCCAGACAAGGAAGTAGCGGATACTATTAAGCATTTGGTCAAGGATTTAGGACGGAAAAAGCGTTGAAATGGGTTATGAATATGCCACCATCTTGGGGAAGCCTCAGGTCCGGGGAGATTCTAAGACATGAGCTCACTGGCAATGTAATCATTAAAAACATCAGTAACAACCAAACCTGGCGTGGGGACTACCTTCTGGGATCCGTCACTTGCTTGATCTTGGCCCCTCCTCCATTTCCCTTACCCAAAGATCACCAAACCTCATCCCAGGAAGGCTCTGGAGGCTGCAGGTGATTTCCAGGTAACCCATGAAAGGAAACCTTTCGAGGCCCTGTCCCATCAGATTACAGGGTGGGGTGGCTTGTCCAAACCAGACGATATTTTGCAGATTCCCTAGAAAAAGCCATCACTGCAGACCCTACCAAACATCGACACAAAACGATTTCAAATCAGCACTAACAATAATTTATATTAAGAGAAATATGCCTATCTTCCCAGATTTTGTTTTCTTTGGGAAAGTTCTTAGAAATGGTGAGTCGGTTACACTCCAGTTGATTAATACTTACAAATATCTGTTTTGGACAGTATAAAGGCCGATTTCCTCATATTTCATGTCTTCCCTTCCACTGGACTCCCCTAGAGTCATGCTCGCTGCAATCTGCCCCTGCAGGCCATTTTTGCCACATTTGAGAAAATGGATTTTTCTTCAGGAAGTCTGAAATAATGTCCTCTTTCCCCTGCATTCAAAGAAACCCTGGTCATAAAACAAGGGCCAGCAAGTAGACTTTTTTTTTTTTAATTATGGTGCATCTTGGAAGCCTAGTGGTTGTGACAGTGGGGCCAGTGGGGGGGTAGAAGCAGGCCATGGTCCAGATCCCTAATACTCATTTCAGCTACAGCATCTTTTTTTTTTTTTTAAACAACAACAAACCTCTGCTCTATATATTAGACTGCTACAGAATATTGTGGGAACAGAGGGTTTCCCTATTAAAGTAACATTTGAAAATCTCTGAATGAGAAGACGTCTGAGCCCTCATTCAGCAATATGATCCATTCGAACAACCCACGCTGCGTTACTCCTGGAAGATCCGGGACCCATTACAATCTGTGGCTAAAACCCCTGACACAACGGGTCCAGGTGCCTGAGGCCATCAGACTCAGAATGTTTCAGGGCAGTAACCCATCAAGACGGATATGAGAAAGAGGGTGCATTCAAAGTCAAGAAACACATGTTCTGATTCTAGCTCTGTATTACTTGGGCAAATCAGGTCACATTTTACACAACTCTGATTTCTCGTCTGTAAATTACGTTGGAGGGGAGAGCCATTTTCAGGTACCAAGACTATGTTACGATCGAGGGCATCCTTTCAGTTATTCTCTTTTCCCAACAAAATCTAAAGCCACTCAAAGCATTCCCTAAAGGCTACAGGGGAAAAAAAAAAAAAAAGTCCTTCCCTACCATCACCTTTCCCTACCATGCCTTTCTTGGTCTGCTTCTTTTTTTTAATTTATTTTATTTTATTTATTTGAGAGAGAGAGAGAGAGCACAAGAGGGGGTAGGGTCAGAGGGAGAAGAAGACTCCCTGCTGAGCAGGGAGCCGGATGCGGGACTCGATCCTGGGACTCCGGGATCATGACCCGAGCTGAAGGCAGTCACTTAACCAACTGAGCCACCCAGGTGCCCTCCTGGTCTGCTTCGTGGTGAGACTAACCATCTTATTTCTCTAGCATCACCTCTCACCCTCCAGCCACCATTACTTTACCTCTCATGTTCTTCTTCCTTATAGGTGCTCCCATGCTCACAAGCCCCAACCTTGTCTACATTCACAGCAAGGCTTATTACACTCACTAAACTGCTAAAAATGAGCAATGGACAGCCTCTTTTCTACTTTTGCTTCTAAGTACTCAGCAAACAGTAACTAACAAAATGAAGGAAGAAATCCAGAGTAAAGCCAGGGATAAGCAATTTAATGTCTGTCACTAGATGAAAACGGACCCGATATATACAAGGATTCCTTCACAGATAAAAACATGCATGCTCCTCAGCAGTTTCTACCAGACTCTGTTTCCAGGCCCATTTATGGAAAATGCACATCTGATGTGCATATGCCATATGGGACTACTTGATATAAAAGTTTGATATAGAGCCGATCAGGATAGCTAACCCGTAAAAGCCAATCTAAAAAATCATCAGGTCTTTAAACTGAAAGATGATCTGTACCATCGCAAATCCAAACATACACACCCTCCCTTCTCAGAGGAACATCCCTCCTAAAATAGCTACGGTGGTTCAGGACCAGTCTCAAGAATAATTCCTTGTTTCTGGTTTTGAGCTAAACTCTATTATTCCATAACTTCCAATAAACTTGTCTTCACTCTTCCTTCTTCCAAGAACATATTTAATTAATGTAATTTCTCTGGCATGAAATAATCCTTTTAATATATGAAATCAATGTCACTTGAGCATTCTCTTTTGTAAGCTCTCACCGGATTATTTAACTATTTCTCATAGCGTAAGTTTGGAGTCATCTAAAAATTTCTGTCATGTTCCTTTGGACATATTCCAGCTTCTAAAAATATTACTTGAGTAAATGGGTTGATAAATTAAAAATACTTTTATTGAACTGAAAAGTGACAATCTCAAAGAAAAATCAATAAACAGAGTGAATTAATTAAGCGATGTCCTTCCTGATTAATTTTTAACATCACTGTCTTTCAAATCAGAAAGTATTTTAAAAATTAGTTTCATGGATTTAAATCTTGACTCAATACTGTGTACACTTGAATAGATCCTAATCAATTAAATTTTAAGTGGATTAGTTTTAGGAAAAGGTAACATCTTTTGCACGCCTATCATGTAAATTAGGTGCTATGCAAAGTACCTTGCATTATTACTGCCATTAATCCTCAGAAAAAACCCTCAAAATGGTCACCATTAATCTCATTTAACAGATGAGAAATTCAAGGCTCAGAATGACGAAACATTCAAAGACCCAAAGCTTCGTGTTTTTAAAACTTTTTCTTGACGACAATCTACATTTTAGATTGTGACCCAGTTTCACATCACACACACACACACCCACACACACACACATAAACCAGTCTGTATCTCTGAAACAAAAAGATCCTTGAAATAACATGAAATGTTTTATCCGTTCCCAATCTATTACTTTGAAAAATTATATTTTTATTACTTAAGAAAATATATTAGACGTGTCCCACTCATTGTATCCCACCAACATATCCTGACCCACAATTTGGAAAAACCTGACTCACCAGATCACTGAGTTGAGGTCTTTCTGATTTCAAATGACAAGTTCTCTCCACTATTCAACCTTCTTTATGTGTCACAGTTGAGTCCTAGCTACCAGTAAAAAATGTTACAAAATGTCGCTGATCGGATTCTTGCTACAGTATGTGACTGAACCGTGTACAGAAGTTTTCATAAAATGGGTGAGACTTCAGTGTTCAGGACCTTCCTTTGCTGAAATGAATGCCAATAAACAGCCCCACTGCTCTGTAAGTAAAATAAAAACCAAAACCTATGGAAATTACCTAAATGCTGCAAGTAAAAATGACCCCAGAGAAGCAGCCAGCAGAGCACACACAACCGTTATTTATTGAACACCTATGAACTGAGCACTGAGCCAAGTTGTTACAAGCGGGGAAATGAATAAGCTACAGTTCCAGACCGGAAGGTGAGCACAGCCTGGTAGGGCAGGGGAAAGACTTGTAACCAACTCAGGATGAAAAGGGTGCACATGGAATTAGTAATATGTTGGTGCAAACGAAGGAAGGGATTTTAATTTGGGGTTATTGTTAAAGTAAAAAACAAGCCAGTAAAATGCACTTTCAATATGTCTACAATGACCATCACTGATGCCGGATAACAAAACGTTCTCTCCTCCTAAAGTTCAGGTTTCTAATATAGAACTTATAATATCTACTGTTGGGCATTATCTACTATTGGGAATTTACTACCTGGAAGATGATGAACAAATCTTCATTTTCTCTCTACCCATTAGTAATCAGGATAAAGCATACCACATGATGACACTGACCTAATGCTGTTAAAGATAATAAGCCCTTAAAAAAATCCATTAATCCCTTGGTTCCTCCTAATGTCCACTTAAATGCCCATCTTACATGAAAGGAAATCACTATTGTTGATAAGCATGCATTTCAAGACTGCGGTAATGCATTCTGCCACAGTTAAACCAGAAGACCCATGTTCGAGATTTGTAGAACATACAGTCTCAACTTCTTTCTTATAATACCAGGTCATAAAGTTTCTCTTGTTCCTAGGGGAAAACCCACTCCCCCCCAGAGAAAAAAGAAATGGAGGTCTCCATATATGAATTCACTTTCATTGTAGGGACTAAATGTAGTTGTTTTTTTTTTTTTTTTTTTTAGTTTATTTGAGAGAGAGAAAGCAAGAGAGACAGCACTAGTGGGGCGGGGGTGGGGGCAGAAGGAGAAGGAGAAGCAGACTCCCCACTCAGTGGGGAGCCAGATGCAGGACTTGATCCCAGGACCCTGTGATCATGACCTCAGCTGAAGGCAGACACAGCCAACTGAGCCACCCAGGCGCTCTTAAACGGTGCCTTTTTAAGAGAACACTGCATTTATTTCAGAGGGCCATTGCTGACATCCAACATTCCATAAAGAAAAATGTGAGTGAATGTTGGGAGAGCGATCTGGGATTCACACCAGGGGGAGACCGCTGGGGAAGATATTATTCAGTGCTAACATTCATAGCGGTTCTTTGAGGTTAACAAGAGCCTCGAAAACCAAAGAGGAACAAAGGTAAAGTAAGGGTAGAGAAGGAAGAGGGGATTAAAAAAATTCCGAAAAATCTGTGTTACTTTTAAAACTAATTCTCTCTTGGTTTAACTGCTGTTTCATAAGGTGGGTGGGGACTGGGCTGAGATTAAGGATTAGCTCTTAGGGCCACAATACCTCATCCATCCTTGGCAAGTTATCCAAAATGAAAATGTTTTCACATCCCAGCCTGAGTCCAACATGCTTTTGAACCCGGGCTTGTTTGCATGTCTGGGTCCACCTGTT